GGAGCTCTCTCGCGTTCCCTGCCCAATGCCAGACTTCACCCGGGCGGGCAAGTGCAGGGGAGGGGTGGTGCTGGAAAGTCCGGAAGTGGAGCCGGGAGCAAAAGCGGACGGGAAACCTGGAGCCGAGCCGGCTGGGAAGGGAGCCAGGAAACGGGGGACGCCGGCCGGAGGCGCAAAGCCCGGCGCTGGATCCCACTTCGGAGCGGGAAGGCTTTAGAGCAGATAAGGAAACAGGGCGGAGGAGGGCTGCGGTTTCCACGGGCCGGGGAACCATTGGGCAGCTCTCGCTCTCTTGCCCTCATATTGCCCTTTTCCCGGCAACACATAAGGGCTCTTATTACCCGTCTCCAATTGCGCGATCCGTGTTGGTGGCACTGTCTGCAGCACGCATCCATATCGATTTTTATTGCACTGACCCAGAATTCCGCTTGCGCCGCAGTGAGAAAACAGGGATGATTTAAAAAAAAACAGACCACAGGGAGAACTTGAAATATTTTTAAGAGCTTCCAAGGGAACGGAGAGCAGGCCAGGAGAAAAGGACCTTCCAGCACCCTGGCCCGGGGCCACGGAAGGCCTTCAAGGAAAGAACCAGACCTTTGGAAAGTGCCCAGAGACAGACGGGCAACCGAGGACAGATCTTTCAGCACTGGGGCGATGCGATCCCTCTAATCCACCCACCGGCAGCCTGATACGGTTAAGCAGGGCTATTTTGGGGCAGGAAGGCAGAGGAACGGAGTTCCGGCTGGCTCCCAAGTTGGCCACGCCCAGCAGGAACTCATTAGCATAACAGGCCACACCCAACAGCAGGAACTCATTAGGACTGGCTACATTAGGGGTGTGTGGCCTAACATGCAAAGGAGTTCCTGCTACAAAAAAAGCCCAACAAACAAGGTAAACAGAATAAGAAGCAAAAGGTGGGCGTGGCTGGAGGACCACACTTCTGGTAACATGGGGGTGCGGCCCAATATGCTAGTGAGCTATGCTGTCAGGGGTGTGGCTGGATATGCTAATGTTTCTGTTGTTGCTAATGAGTTCCTGCTGGGCTTTTTCTACAAAAAAAGCCAAGTTTCCAGGCTGTCTCCAAGGGCAGCCCCACGGACGGCACTTTGCAGTAATCTAACCTGGATGTGATCAGAGCACGGATCGCTGTGGCCAGACTCTGCTTTTCACGCAAGGGCTGTAACTGGCGAGCCATCCGGAGCGGAGAAAAGAAACCACCTGCCATGGGTGGAGATCTGGGGCTCCATCCGTAGGGCCGGATCCAGCACAGCATGACTCAGGCTATGAACCCATTCCATTGGGGGAGCCAGCACCAGTGTTCCCTCTGAACTGAGTTAGTGTGAGCTACTTCACTGTTTTTTAGCCTCCAGCTCACAGACTTCTGTCCCAGCTCAGGGAGGATGGCTCCGGAGCAGTGTTCCCTCTAAGCTGAGTTAGCGTGAGCTCGCTCACAGTTTTTTAAGCCTCCGGCTCACATTCTTGTCTCAGCTCAGGAAGGGTGGCTCCAGAGCAAACTAATTTATGCAGTAGCCAAATCCCTTGCTCACAACTTTAATGCCAGTCGCTCACAAGACTCCACAGCTTACAGGGAACATTGCTCCAGAGCAGACTCACTGACGCAGCAGCCAAATTGCTCGGCTCACCTCTTTTATGGCCAGGAGCTCGCAAAGTAGAATTCTTGCTCACAGGACTCCACAGCTTGGAGGGAGCGTTGGTCAACACCCCCCCCCCCAAGACTGGCCGGCTCCACAGCCCCCAGGCACCTTCTCTGTTGACTGACAGCACCTGTCTCGTCCGGATTGAGTTTCAGTTTCTTGGTCATCATCCACTCCCCCACCCCTTTCTATCAAGGCCACTTTGGACTGGGCCCAAGATCCCGTCTCTTGAACACCAGTTTGATCCGCATCAAACGTCAGGTGACGGGACTTTCCTCCGAGCCACGAGAACCTTCAGCGGTCCCTTCCCACGCTCCAAGCCTCCATCTGAAGGGCTATTTTCCTCCTCTCCAGTGTTGTAGCAAGTCCAGTGTTCCCTCTAAGCTGAGTTAGTGTGAGCTAGCTCACAGTTTTTTAGCCTCCGGCTCACACATTTTTGTCTCAGCTCAGGAAGGGAGGGCTCCAGGGCAAACTGATTTATGCAGTGGCCCAATCGCTGGCTCACAGCTTTAATGCCAGGAGCTCACAAAGTAGATTTGTTGCTCACAAGACTCCACAGCTTAGAGGGAGCATTGGTAGCAAACCGTAGCAAAACGGGGTCTCTTCCCCCTCTTGGGAGCACAGCTGCCAGGGGAAACCCGGAGCAGGATTCAGAGGACTGGAGCTGTGCAGAAACCGGAGCTGGATGTGGGAAACGGAGGCAAGGGCCACGCCAGGGAGAGACGGAAAACACGGTGCATGGAGTACAGGAGAATCGGGCGGTGCTTCCGCAACCCATGGAAAAGCCACGAGCTGCCCCACTGGATCGGGCCACCACCTGATCAGGCTCGGGCAGCAGGGGCGGAGAGAGAACCCGGCACACTCTGCACATGGACAATCCCTCCCACCGTGGGGGAACTAAACTCTGACCCCCCACACACACACCCCCCAGAGGCATCCAGCTCCTGGAATCCAGAGCCGAAGTTGCTGGCTGCCCTGTTCTCCCCCTCCCCCAGGGGAGGAAAGAGCACAATGTGGGGCTGGAACACCCCCCCCCCCTTCCTGCCTCCAGGAAGGGGCCTGAAGCCACCAGCACAACTGAGTCACCTTCCGAGCGTTAACCCCTTGGCTCCAGCACAGCTACCCACCAGGATCTCTCCCCTCGGCTCCTGGGACGCTCCGGCCCTGCCGTGGGGCAGCCAGGAGGGACACGCGTGAATCCACGTCAAGCTGCCGTATACTCAATCAGACCCTCGGTCCACCAAGGTCAGTATTGCCTACTCAGACTGGCAGTAGCTCGCCAGGGTCTCAGGCACGGGTCTTTCACGTCACCTCCTGCCTGGTCCTGTTTAACTGGAGATGCTGCCGGGGATTGAACCTGGGACCTTCTGCCTGCCAAGCAGAGGCTCTGCCACTGAGCCACGGGCCCTCTTTACAGCTCTCCAGGGTCTGAGGCAGAAGTCTTTCACATCACCTACTGCCTGGATCCTTTTAACTGGAGAAGCTGGGGATTGAACCTGGGGCCTTCTGCATGCCAGGCAGAGGCGCTGCCACTGAGCCATGGCCCCTCTTGACAGCTCTCCAGGGTCTCAGGTGAAAGTCTTTCCCATCACCTCCCGCCTGGTCCTTTTAACTGGAGATGCTGCTGGGGATTGAACCTGGGGCCTCCTGCATGCCAAGCAGACGCTCTTCCACTGAGCCACGGGCCCTCTTTACAGCTCTCCAGGGTCTGAGGCAGAAGTCTTTCACGTCACCTACTGCCTGGATCCTTTTAAGTGGAGAAACTGGGGATTGAACCTGGGGCCTTCTGCATGCCAGGCAGAGGCTCTGCCACTGAGCCAGGGGCCCTTTCCCTCTCTTGAAATGCCGCTCAGCAGTCAGAAGTCTCCTCTTGGGATCAAAGGTGCTGGAACTTCCCCTGTTGATCTTCTGCCAGCTATTAAAGGGCTCTTTGGAGAGATGGGGGGGGGGGGAGTACAGATGGACAAAATACACCCCAAATACCAGACCTGGGCCAGGGTAATGTACACTATAGGGAAGCCCTGGACCCCCCCCCCCCGATTTATGGAGAGGATCGAAGATCCAGGCTGGCTGGAAGCCCCAGAAGTCTACCTAATCTCATAGCCGAAAGTAAAAATCATTATAAAAGAAAAAGAAGCTGCCCTAGGACGGCTTCAAACTCAGAACTAGCGAAAAACCCCACCAGATGCAAGTCCCTGAAGTTAGAACTTGTAGGGGGGGAGAGAGAGGATAAATGCCCCCCACCTAAGATGGTGGATAAATACATGCCAAGATCTCAGCCACCCGTGACCGCCCCCCCATTCGCCCTTGGAGATTCAAGCATCAAACCCCCCCCCCCATTAAAGAACAGGTCAGCCACAAAACTCAGGGCATGCTAGATGCCATCTTGCAGGAAGATACAGCTTCATACAGGACTGGTGGCAAAGAATCGAGGGTCACACACCGTCCCGCAAGGTCACAGGAGGGTGACCAAAATTCTTGGGGTGGAGCACCTTCCCTCTGAGGAAAGGCGGAAGAGACTGGGACTTCTCTGTTTAGAAGTGGGCACGTGAGAGAGGTTTATACAATTATGCACGAGGTGGAAGGAGTTAACACAGAGAACTTGATTCCGCCCTCTCCCAAAAGACTAGAACTGGAGGGCATCCAATGAAGCTGACGGGCAGTAGGGTTCAGGAAGGACGAAAGGAAATACTACTTGACACAGATAAAATGTGGAATTCGCTGCCAGAGGATGTTGTGATGGCCAAAGGAATAAACAGTTTTAAAAGGGGATTGGATAGATTCATGGAAACGAATGAGTTTATCAGTGGCTGCTATCCCTGGTGACTGAGGGGAACCTCCATGTTCAGAGGCACTAAGCCTCTGAATCCCAGAGCCAGGAGGCCACATCAGGGGAAGTTCTCAGCCAGAGGAGCAGTGTTCCCTCTAAGCTGAGTGAGTGTGAGCTAGCTCACAGTTCTTTAGCCTCCAGCGCAGATTTTTGTCTCCGCACAGGAAGGATGGCTCCACAGCAAACGAATTTATGCAGCAGCCAAATTGCTCGCTCGCCACTTTAATGCCAGCAGCTCACAAAGCAGAATTTTGGCTCACAAGACTCCACAGCTTAGAGGGAGCGTTGGTCTCGGCTTCTCTGCCGTGTTTGTTGGCCCTCCAGAGGAACTAGAGGAACTGGCCCTCCAGAGGAACTAGAAGGCTCCTGAGCAAACTAAACTATGCAGCAGCCCAACCGCTGGCTCACATCTTTAAGACCGGAAGCTGGACTAGAAGGACCGTCATTGGTCTGACCCAGCAGGGCTCTTCTGGTGTTCTTCTCAGGGGAAGGCCTCGGCCTCTCTGCCCTGTTTGTTGGCCCTCCAGAGGAACTAGAGGAACTGGCCCTCCAGAGGAACTAGAAGGCTCCTGAGCAAACTAAACTATGCAGCAGCCCAACCGCTGGCTCACATCTTTAAGACCGGAAGCTGGACTAGAAGGACCGTCATTGGTCTGACCCAGCAGGGCTCTTCTGGTGTTCTTCTCAGGGGAAGGCCTCGGCCTCTCTGCCCTGTTTGTTGGCCCTCCAGTTTTCTTGCTCGATAACACAGACACAGAAATAACTGAAATAACAGCAAAGTTTCTCTGCAGTAGCATGGCCCTACGGCCTGATAAATGATATGATGAATTAGGTTTTTCTTTATGATGATACTCTGTGATGTTACTCGGCAATTTTAATTTGACTCTGTGTGTACTTAGATTACTGTATTTTTATGCCAATAAAAGGCTTTGCATTGGTTGGCCCTCCAGGGGAACTGGCTGGCCCGTGTGAGACAGTATGCTGGATTGGATGGACCCTCACTGTGTGAGACGGGAGGCTGGACTAGAGGGACCCTCCCTGGTCTGACCCAGCAGGGCTCTTCTGAGGTTCTTCTCAGGGGAAGGCCTCGGCCTCTCTGCCCTGTTGCTGGCCCTCCAGAGGAACCGGTTGGCCACTATGTGAGACGGGAGGCTGGACTGGATGGACCCTCACTGGTCTGACCCAGCAGGGCTCTTCTAGGGTTCTTATGTAGGCCTCAGCCTCTCTGCCCTCTAGGGGAACGGGTTGGCCCCTGTGTGAGACGGGAGGCTGGACTAGAGGGACCCTCCCTGGTTTGACCCAGCAGGGCTCTTCCAAGGTTCTTATGGCTGCACAGCCGGTGGTAACCATCTGAGAGTCCGACTCAAATCCTCACTGATCCAAGAAGCTCACACCTGCCAGATCTCCAGCCACCGCCTCAGCCTAACTTGCCCCACAGGAATGAGATTCCCCGCCCCCCTCAGCGTAAGAATGCCCCAGGTAGATGGCTGCATCCCCACCCCAATCGGCCAGAGCCCCACAGCAGACACCCTGTGAGGTAGGTAGGGCTGAGAGAGCTCTGACAGAAGCTGCCGGAGAGAGAACAGCTCTGAGAGAACTTGTGACTGACCCAGGGTCACACCAGCAGATGCACGTGGAGGAGTGGGGAATCAAACCCGGTTCCTCCCAGATTAGAGTCACACACCGCTCCTCCAACAGGTGTACACAACACACACACACAACACACACTCTGCTGCTCAGCCTCGATCTCAAGGAGCTCGCGCTCTAGCTATGAGCAGTGTTCCCTCTAAGCTGAGTGGGTGTGAGCTAGCTCACAGTTTAGCCTCCGGCTCACACCTTTTTGCCTTAGCTCAGGAAGGGAGGGCTCCTGAGCAAACTAATCTATGCAACAGCCCAACCGCTGGCTCACATCTTTAAGGCCAGGAGCTGACGAAGTAGGATTTTTGCTCACAAGGCTCCACAACTTAGCGGGAGCGTTGGCTACGAGCCAGTAAGACCCCCACGCGCACCCGCCCGGGATAGGGTGAAAGCAGCCCCCCACCCACCCCAGCAAGGACGAGGCGACAGCTGAGAATGCCACTCTTTTTACTCGTACAGAAAGATTTTTGGTTTTTTACTTCTTCTTGGAGACGCCGACGGTTCTGCCGCGGCGGCCGGTGGTCTTGGTGTGCTGACCCCTGACCCGCAGGCTGCAAGGGGAAGAAGAACCGGGGGGGGGGTTTTTTGCAGTCAGCGGGGGCACAAGAACAGCAGGGGCCCGCCCCTTGCCATCCCTCCCCCCCGTGCCCCACTCCACAGCACTCCCGTTCTCACCCCCAGAAGTGACGCAGGCCGCGGTGGGCCCGGATCTTCTTCAGGCGCTCCAAGTCCTCGCGCAGTTTGTTATCCAGCCCGTTGGCCAAGACCTGCAAAAGAGGGGGGGATGCTTCAGAAGAGGGGGGAAAGCCCCCCCATGCCACAGCCAGCGCCTGAGCAGTGTTCCCTCTAAGCTGAGTCAGTGTGAGCCAGCTCAGTTTTTTTAGCCTCTGGCGCGCACATTTTTGCCTTAGGTCGGGAAGGAGATGGCTCCAGAGCAGACTAATTGATGCAATGGCCAAACGGCTCGCTCACAGCTTTAATGCCAGAAGCTCACAAAGTAGAATTTTTGCTCACAAGAAGACTCCACAGCTTAGAGGGAGCGTTGCTTCCAAGGCACCCTCAGGAGCCACCAAGGAGGGAATGCCACCGGCCGCCAGACCAAGCCCCTTGGAATGACCACACCCCTCCCCCCTCAACAAATTGACTCCCCAGCTGGGTTCAGTGCGTCTCCCTCCCCAGTGTCCCCTTCCGTTGAATATCCCCAGCTTTCTCATCCCCCCCCCCCCCGGACACTCCGGGCTCCGAGCCTGCCCCGGGAACCCTCACCTGGCTGTACTTCCCGTCCTTGACGTCCTTCTGCCGGTTGAGGAACCAGTCGGGGATCTTGTACTGTCGGGGATTCTGCATGATGGTGATGACACGCTCCACCTGCAGGGGGCAGCAGAGACACCCCGTGAGCGAGACGCTCTGGCCCGAGCGACGACCACAGAGGGCTGACTGGGGTGGGAGTCCCCCGGACACCCAGAGGAAGGCGGGGCCACCCAGAAGGGAAGGGGAAACAAGGGGGAGGGGCTAGAACCAGCAGAGTCAGTGCAAGGGCAGGTTTCTGACCTTTGACCACTTCCTCCTGGCAGTTCTCTGCACCCCTTCAAGGCAACAGAGACACCTGCCAGGTCTAAGCCCTCTGGCGCTATTTAAACCAGGGGCAGGAAACTGGGAAAATTGAAAAAAAGGAGAAAAAATTGATTATGGAACGTTTTATTTTACCATGATGAATAAAATATTTTAGGACAAGATGTTCAAATGTTTTCCAAACCATTTCTAAAAAATACGTATGGTATCAGATTGATCTAACTTCTGTGCACTGAGGACAAGCAAGTCCTAGGTTACAAACTGAACTCTCCCATGCAAGAACAAAGATGCATTTCTTCCTTTAGGAGGTGCTGTTGTCAGAAGAAAAGAAAAAGGTTTCAGTTTTGTTTTTGCATGTGGGTGGGTATTCTGTTTGTAATAATTGTTTGGATACACTGTATTTTTAATAGGCTAGTAGTGATCATTTCATGCCAAGTAAAAATGTCCATAGTCAAATTGTATGTTCCTAAAGTAACAGAATGACTTTCAACCCGGAAAAGAAAAAAAGAAGTGCTAATGTAGCATTTTTTTTCAATTTTTCCGAAAATTTCCATTCCCCCCTCGAAAAAAACCAAGAAAAAACTCGGGTTCTTTTCCGAGCTTCAAAATTTTCAGAAATTTTACATCCCTACCTCTGACACCAGTGTTCCCTCTAAGCAGAGTTAGTGTGAGCTAGCTCACAGTTTTTTAGCCCCTGGCTCACCCATTTGTGTCTTAGCCCGGGAAGGACGGCTCCAGAGCAGACTAATTTATGCAGCAGCCACATCGCTGGCTCGCAACCTTTGCTCACAAAGTTGGATTTTTGCTCACAAGGCCCCACAGCTTAGAGGGAGCATCGCCTGACACGTGCCCAGAACATCGGCGAGAGAGGTGCCAAATCCCCCCCCCCCCCCCCCGGCCCCCACTCCGCCACACAGCCGCACAGACAGCGGCTCTCCAGGGTCTCCGGCAGCCAGAGGCCTCCCCCAGAGACCCTTGAACGGAGACAACGCCGGACACACCATAAACTTTAATCTAATGCTAATGGGTACAATTGGGAACCCAGCAGTAAGGAGAATCAAGCTACTTTTAAAGCTATGATATTAGCAAGTAAAGCAGTGATTGCTCTGGGCTGGAAGGACAAGAGTAAACGGACAGTAGAAATCTGGCATAATTATTTGTTTGATTTTATACAGTCGGAAGACCACATGGGCAGAAAAGACCACAGAAATCAGAATGAAATGGAAGACCTACCTAGAATGGATACTAACAGAAGGAAGAAAACACATTTAGTGCAAGATTCGGACTTTGTGCCCGTGGCTGGGATCAAAGGACTAGTGAACTGGAATAGCAAGGGAAGGGCGGGGGGGGGGGGGGGGTTTTTAAAGCGATATGTAACGTACGGGACAAAAGTTAACATGTAATACACATGAAATGTTACATAAAAAAATAAAGATTTAAAAGAGAGAGAGAGAGAGACACACAACGCCGGAGACTGAACGGGGGACCTGCCCCTCCCCACCCCGAGGAGGGGCTCGCCCCCAAAACGTGACCCCTCCCCTGCCGCTGAGCCAGGCCCCCCCATCGTGCAAAAACAGCCTCTGTGACAACCAGCCAAGAACCTCCGTTGGCTTACTGCCCCTCACCACTTGACGTCAGACAGTTCCTACCCTGAAAAGAACTGGCACGTTAATTCGTGAGGGAGAATTACTGGAAAGGTCGGGGAAGGGGGAGGTTCTCACCTCATCTTCAGTGAGCTCCCCGGCTCTCTTGGTCAGGTCGATGTCGGCTTTCCTCAGCACCACGTGGGCGTAACGCCTGCCCACCCCCTGTGGGGAACAGGAGAAGGCACGAGATGAGCGGGGGGGGGGGGGGGGTTAAAAAACCCTTCTACTTTTCAAAACCCCCCCGCACAGGATACCAGCCTCCACAGGCCTCTCCACCAGCCCTCGCCCCCACCTGCAGAAGCCAATGGCTGTTTCCCCCCCCCTTTAACTTTATTATTTATGTATTACAGGTATGTCCAACAGGTAGATCACGATCTACTGGTAGATCACCAGCCCCACTTGGTTTCACTAAATGAGCGAGCGCGACGTTTTAAAGATTGCGCAAGATCGGCCTGGATCAATACTCAAATAACTCTGAATAAAGAAGAGAAGAGATTGGATTTATACCCCGCCCTTCACTTGGGAGTCTCAGAGCGGCTTACAAACTCCTCTCCCTTCCCCTCCCCACCACAGACACCCTGTGAGGTGGGTGGGGCTGAGAGAACTCTGACACAAACTGCTCTTTTTCAAGGACAGCTGTGCCAGAGCTTGTGACTGACCCAAGGTCACATCAGCAGGTGCAAGTGGAGGAGTGGGGAATCAAACCCGGTTCTCCCAGATTAGAGTCCGCACACTTAACCACTACACCAAACTGGCTCTCTTAACCACTACACCAAACTGGCTCCTTAAAAGTTAAGGAAAGTTATTGAGACAGTGAAAGTTATCACTCAATAAAAAATAAAAAATGTTCGCAGTTCTTTCTGGATCTTCGTCTCTCTGTTTTGTTTTTGCTTCGCTTGCTTACCAGTAAATGACAGAAGGTGCATTATAAATGGGGGTGGGGGCGGTGGATCCCAACTTTAGTGGGTCAAAATCTAATTTGAAACTAATTTGAAACTTTATTTTCATTGTGGTCAATCACCGGCACTTTGGGCTGGAAAAAACAGATCACTACCTGTTCGAAGTTGGACATGCCTGATGTATTAGATTTCTATTCCGCCCTTCCCCGAAGGGTCAGGGTGGATTAGGACGACAACTGGATATAAAAATACATAATGCATATAAGATGACAAAATCGGGCGTTCGTAAATAATCAATAAAATATAGAGAGAAGTGAATCAGTTCCAGGAGGGCTAACAGAACGAGATCAGGCGGAGGCCTCCCTGAACAAGACTGACTTGGAGAAGAAGAAGAAGAGATTGGATTTATACCCCGTCTATCACTACCCGAAGGAGTCTCAGAGCGGCTTACAAACTCCTTCCCCTTTACCTCCCCACCACAGACACCCTGAGAGGTCGGTGGGGCTGAGAGAGCTCTTGACAGAAACTGCTTTTTTTCAAGGACAACTCTGAGAGAACTTGTGACTGACCCAAGGTCACACCAGCAGCTGCACGTGGAGGAGTGGGGAATCAAACCCGGTTCTCCCGGATGAGAGTCCGCGCACTGAACCACGACCCCAAACTGGCTCTCTACACCAAACTCGCAAGCCCTGCGGAAGTTGGAAAGGTCCCAAAGGGCTCGAACCTCGTCCGGCAAGGCTTTCCACAAGGTGGAAAAGGCCCGTGTCCTGGCGGTAGCTGAAGAGCGCAGTGGACAAAAGGGGGTTATAGTGAGAGAGCCGGTCCCTCAGATATGGCGGTCCCAGACCACTGAGGGCTTTAAAGGCGAGGGCCGGCTGGCACCTCCAACGTGATCTGGAAACAGGCAGGTGAGGCAGTGTGGCTGCCGCCAGTGTTCTCTCTAAGCCAAGCTAGTGCGAGCCAGCTCACAGTTTCTTAGCCTCCAGTTCACACACTCTTGGTCTTCGCTCAGGAAGGAAGGCTCCAGAAGGGCAAACTGATTTACGCAGCAGCCAAGTCGCTGGCAACTTTAATGCCAGTGGCTCACAAAGTAGAACTCTCGCTCACGGAACTCCGCAGCTTAGAGGGAGCCCTGGCTGCCGCAGCAGAGCCACTTCGACGAGGCCACGCGGGGAGGCCTGGGGCACCTGCCAACTCTGGGTCTCAACTGGCAGGCAAGGCGGACGCAGCCCCCCCCCCCCCCCCCCCCCCCCGCAGCTCTGGGACCGCAGCCTGAGCGCTGCAGCATCCAGGGAACTGGCTGGAGCCCTACAAGCGTGGCCGAGACAGACACGGCGCTTGGAAAGGGTCAGCTTGGGAGCAGAGCAGCCGGGCTGCGGCAAAAGCTCTGGGGTGGAGCTACTTCTTGAGGTGTGTGTGTGTGTGTGAGGGGGTGTTGATGCAGCAAGGAGGGAGCCAGGGCCGCTTGGACTGAACGGCACGCCTCCCCTCCCCTGTGCTCTTCGGCTGGATTTTCCCCACTCAGAAAGGGTCACATCAGTGACAGACCGGCAGGACAAGCTATGGGAACACCTTGTCATGGCAAAAATTGCTGATTCGATCAGGTGTGCACACCCAGATACCCCACACCACTCCACATTTGCGTCTACTTGGTTCCCTGTAGTCTCCCTACTTACCGATTCTGGATATTCTCCCCCCTAACCCTCTCTATCTGAAGTGGTTAACCTTGTAGGTTTCAACTTTTTTCATTTAGATGACATTCTTGTAGGTGGATGCACTGTATTACGCTGTATTGTACATTAATTTAAAATTAATAAAGATGATTTTTTATAAAAAAGAAGAAGAACAAAGGGCCACAAAAGGGCGCCTGCGGACATTCTAACAGAGCAGCACCAGAATGCCGGCGACCCGGCCCCCTGCAGTCGCTCCGGACCAGCCCCCCCTCTGACCTTGATGGCGGTGATGGCGAAGGCGATCTTCCGCCGCCCGTCGATGTTGGTGTTGAGGACTCGGAGGATGTGCTGGAACTTCTCTGGGATCACGAGAGACTGCGGGAAGGAAGGGGACAGACCGGCTCAGTCGGAGAGGCCGACAGCATCGGAACACGAGAAAATACTGCACGTCGCTCCGCTGCCCTCGCCAAAGGACAGACGTGCTTGCAAACCGCACCTCCCCCTGGTGCCCCTGGGCTCGCTTGCTCGAGCCACCCGATCCCGATTTCCCCAACGTGACAGAAAGCTGGCTCTGGAGGAGCGGATGCCCTTGCTCGCCGTAGCACATGGCAGCAAGATCAACGAGCCCCCACAAATCTCTCTGTGGGGAAGGGAACAACTACACTCTGCAGAAAAGGATCTCTATGACAGTACTGGAAGTCCCAGAGAGACCCAGCTCGGCAGGGGTGTTTGGAACAGACACCGCTCCGTGCCCAGGAGTGCGCACAGCACAAGCCTTTCGGAAGGAGTGACAGGAAAGACAAGGGTTTATCTAAGACTATCGGCAGGATTTTTTGTTGTTGTTGTTGTTTTTGTTTAAATATAAACTTGGCAATACTATACATTTGTCATTAAATAATTCGGCCTTCTCCATATTACAAAGTTTATGTAAGCATCCAGACTTGCTGGCAGTACTAGCAACTGTGCCCGCGTGAATTTTCCTATCGAAATAACACATTATTTTCTTTACTACAGAACTAATTTTCTGCCTTCAACTTTTATTTTTTCACCCCTACCTCTCAGAAGGCAAAGACCAAGTCCTTGTGCTGCGGAAACAAGGGCCGCATTTTTGCAACTGCTTCTTAACTATTTGGCAACCCTGCAATTTTTCTTGTCAGACATTCAGAACCCCTAAAGCACAGAAATGCAAAAGACTAGAGGTTCACACACCGAATCATACATCCCAAATCGTCAGTCTCCCCCACAGTGTCAGCATTCCCAGAAACCTCTGAAGTCTCAGGCAACAGAGGAACGATATCTGGACCGAAAAGGCCGCTATACCCCCACTCTTCCTACAAAGCGGAAGATTGTGTGGGTCATTGTTGTACATATTAGATTCCATGTCAACAATGAAGTCAAATGAGGAGGAACTTTGTAGCTATTATGTTGCCTGCTAACAATATCACACCTACAAGAGGAAAAGCCTTCTATATAACGGGCCCTTCTAACATCCTAATAAAATATTACTTAAAGGATAAATCTATAAAAACCAGAGAAATATGAATATGAACAATCAAGAAGAAAAAAACCTATATATAAAAATCTTTATATTCCCACTCATACTACATCACGGGCAGTGCTCCCTCTAAGCTGAGTGAGTGTGAGCTGGCTCACAGTCTGTTAGCCTCCGGTTCACACCTTTTTGTCTCAGCCCAGGAAGGAGGGCTCCAGAGGAAACTAATTTATGCAGGAGCCAAATCGGTCGCTCACAAAAACTTTATTGCCAGGAGCTCACCAAGCAGAATTTTTGCTCACAGGACTCCACAGCTTAGAGGGAGCATTAAGAACATAAGAGAACAATGTTGGTTCAGGCCGAAAGCCCATCCAGTCCAACATTCTGTGTGTCACACAGTGGCCAGAAATACCAGGGGCCACCAAGAGGTCCAGCAGTGGGGCCAGGACATTAGACGCCCCCCCACTGTTGACCCCCCCCCAAGCACCAAGAAGACAGAGCATCACTTGCCCCAGAGCCCCTATCTATACCTTGTGGCCAGTGTTCCCTCTAAGCTGAGTTGGTGTGAGCTAGCTCACAGTTCTTTAGCCTCCGGCTCACACATTTTTGTCTTCGCTCAGGAAGGAGGGCTCCAGAGCAAACTCATTTTTGCAGTAGCCAAATCGTTCACTCACAGCTTTAATGCCAGTAGCTCACAAAGTAGAATCTTTGCTCACAAGACTCCACATCTTAGAGGGAACATTGCTTGTGGCTAATAGCCACCGATGGACCTCTGCTCCAGATGCTTAGCATTGGTCATGGCCACAAGTGGGCAGAGCTTCAGGGGTGGCCAAGGGGGCGCAAAGGTGCACCCCAGACCAAGCATCATTTTTTAAAAAAGAATTTTTATTAAATATTCAATATATGTTTAAAAGAAACCACACAAAACCAAACTCCAGACCAGGCCCCATCACCCAGGCAGGCATCCTCCTTTTCTGGAAGGGCCGCCTTACTAAACTCCAGGCCATATCAGTGCCGCAGGGCTTGCACACACAACAACCCTGCAAGGCTGGCCGTGCTGAGAAGACGCCTCCTGGCTCGTCTACAAGGAGGCCCCCTCCCAGCACCGCGTGTTCCCTCCGGCAACAGGGGGGCTGCTGAACGGCACCCACCACCCCCCGCCGCCTTTGGGCGCTTCCCTCCACGTCTCGCAGCAGGGCAGCACTACAATGTCGCCCTACCTTGCAGGGCCGTTGTAAGGCTCAAAAGGCCGGGCCTATAAACGGCGTTTGCACCGTTTGCAAGCCAAAAGGGTTGCACGCTTTGAAGGGAGGGACAAAAAAGCCAGGCTGTCCCTTTAAAAGCTGCCAAGCAGGCAGGAATCCTCCAGGGCAACGATCCCTCCTTCCCACCTCCAGTTGTGGGTCCCCCCCGGGCAAGGGGGCGGCCGCCCCCCCCCGCGGATCCCCTTCGCCCCCCCCCCACCACCAACCAAGGCCGCCACCTACCATGGCTGCGGTCTTCTTTCTCGCTCCAGCGGTAGCCGGAAAAGGAAGTCGGCCGGCGCCGCAATATAGTTATACTTCCCTCCCACTGGATGACAACTTCCGGCGATCCGGAAGCATGCCTGGCCTCCTCTATTTTGGACTCTTCGGCGCTTCCGGGTGTAGCGGAAGAAGCGCTGCGTTTGTGTAATATTTCTAATATCTATTCCGGTGCGCTGTCCTAAAACGCTCGTGCGGAAAACAGCAAACGAAACTTAGAGTTCCGGGGGACATTATCACCCGGCGCACCACCCCCTGTATAGGGGGCAGTGGCAGTGCCCGGTGTCAACGCGAAGCTAAATCCAGTCTCCCCCCTCCTCCTCTTTTTTTGAGCTCCTCCCAGGACGGAGCTTCAACCCACCCCTCTCTTGAGAAAAGCGCAATTCCTACTAGCCACTTCCGCCCGGGCCTGCCTGGCACCGCGAGGCATTCTGGGACATGTAGTCTCAATCCTTTGTGTAATGCTTAACACCGGACGTTCCTTTCCGGGAGCCCCCGGATGTCGTCGCGGAAGAGGAGGAGGAGGAGGGAGCCGGTGACGGAGCCGTGATGGCCGCCGTCGCGGGTCCCGAAGAGGAACGCCGGAGGCGGCAGCCGCTGCGTCCAAGCGAGATGGAGGAAGAGGAGGTGGCGGCGGGCGGAACGGTGAGGGCCGCGTACCTGTCCCCCACTTCCGGTCCCTGAGATGCCCCCACTTCCGGTCCCGGCAGAGTAGTGGGAGGGGGGCGGTGGTGGGCTGTTGCAGAATGGGAGGGGGCGCGTGAGTCTGTGTCGTTAGCAGGAGGAAGAGTCCGGTGCGGCCGCTTATTCCTGCCCTGCACACGGAAGCGGATACCAGAATGAAACTTAGAGAGTTGGAAGGGGTCCCTAGAGGCCATCTAGTCCAACCCCGTCCTAGAGGCCATCTAGTCCAACCCCGTCCTCCATGCAGGATCAGCCCTAGAGCAGCCCTGACAAGTATTGGCCCGGCCGCTGCTTAAAGACTGCCCCAGCCAGCTGATTCCACCGTTGCACAACTCTTGACTGTCAAAAAGTTTCTCCTGATATGCACCTGGTACCATCTGGAGATGGGAAGGCCCCGGGAAAAAACAGGAAAAATTCGGGAAAAAACCCGGGTTTTGAGTAGGGGCCTCCACTACTACCACCACCAGTGATATTGGTACCAACGGGGTAAGAGGATGGCCCTATGGACACCAAACCGTGACAGCCGCTGGATGGGGAGGAGTAACATCTACGGGACCTTTTCCTCCTTAGGGAAGGAGTCCCGTTGCTTTAGAACATTGCTGAGATACCATCTTGTTGTCTTGAGAGATTGAAACTAGTGAGCACTTTATCGTGTTAAACTGATTGTCTTGTGTTTATGTGTAGGCACACGGTGCCCTTTGTAAGCCGCCCTGAGCCCGTTCGCAGGGAGGGCGGGGTAGAAATACAATAAAATAAATAAATAAATATGCGCGCGCACACACACCCCTTGCCCAGATTGCCCGGAGTCACGGACTGGGTTGTCACCAATATGCGGAGGACACCCAGCTCCAGGGGTCATTTCGTAGAAAAAGAGGCGCAGGAGCTCATTAGCACAACTCATTAGCATCACTTATTTGCATATGCCACACCCCCTGACATCACCGGAAGTGCGTCAGAAGGCAACACCCACCACTCAGGCTCCACTGGACTGCTTTGGATTGCTAGCTATTGGGGGGGGGGGAGAGACGTGCAGATCTGTCCTCGCAGAGGAGGGAGAGCTTGTACCGGAATAAAACTTGGTCTTAAAGGTGCCACTGGACTGTTTTGGGCCGGGGGGGCCCCTCTGCAACTTACCTGGCTGCTTCTTGCTCTGACTGAGGGCTGCTGGGAGCAGGGGGCAGGGCTTGTTGCATGTGCCCGCCCCCTGGGCTCTTTACTGCCGGAGCTCCACGCCTGTGCGCTCCTGCAGGAAATGACCCCTGCCCAGCTCTATCTGTTCTTGGACGGCCAGTCAGACTCTCGTCTGGGAGATCTGGACCTGGCGGGGAGGCCAGACTGGGGTGGTAGCTGACCGCCTGGCCGCTGGAGTTCTGGCCCCACTGGTGGACCTGGGTTTTGGCCACGGGGTGACAGAGTGTTGGACTGGAGGGGCCACGGGCCTCATCCAGGAAGGCTTCCCTTACGGTTCCCCTCTTTTTAGTGCCTCCTCCCCTCCCCCGCACCCTGCAAGGTAGTGTTTAATCTCAGCTCCCCTCCCTGTGTCTCCCCCTCCCCCTGCCCGGTAGGGTCATGGCGAGGAGACGCTACAGTTGAACCTGGGAGACCTGGACCTGACCTCCGAGGAGTTCATCTTGGACGAAGTGGACAGTGAGTTCTCCCCCTCCCTTCCGTGTTCCTCTGTGCTGAGTTTTTTTGCAAGGCGGACATGGCTCGAGAGAGGGCGGGGTGTGTGTGTCTCCCTGCTGCCCCGCCCCCGTTCCCAGGGCAGGAACCGCTGGGCCGCTCCCCCGCTGCTCCCCGTCAGGCTTCCTGAGCATTTGACTCGCCCCCAGAAGGCACTGTGGGCTGGTTCTGCGTGGGCTGCCCCTGCTGTGTCCCAAAAGACCCACACACACACATTTAGCACAGCAGCGCTGCCTGCAGGGAATCTAGGTTATAGGTGGGGAGGCTGAGGGGCTTCGGGCTCACCTATCGCTCACCTGGGCCAGTCTGGTGTCATGGTTAGGAGCATGGACACTAATCTGGGAGAACCGGTAGAACCCCCCCCCCATGCAGCTGCTGGTGTAACCTTGGGTCAATTACAAGTTCTGTCAGAGCTGTTCTCCCAAGGACAGTTCTGGAAAGAGCTCTCTCAGCCCCACCTACCTCACAGGTGGGGAGGGGAAGGGAAAGGAGTTTGTAAGCCGCTCTGAGACTCCGGGTGAAGGGCGGGGTATAAATCTAACCTCACCTCTCTTCTTAAGCCAGTTTGGTGTAGTGGTCAAGTGCGTGGACTCTAATCTGGGAGAGCCGGGTTTGATTCCCCACTCCTCCTCCACTTGCACCTGGCTGGATGACCTTGGGCAAGCTGTAGTTCTGACAAGAGCTGTCCTTGAAAAAAGAGCCGTTTCTGTCAGAGCTCTCTCGGCCCTGCCTCCCTCCCAGGGTGTCTGTCTGTTGTGGGGAGGGGGAAGGGAAAGGGGATGGTGAGCCGCTCGGAGACTCCTTTGGTAGGGAAGGGCCCTGGGGTATGAATCCAGTCTCTTTTTGTCTTCTTTCAGTCCACATCCAAGCCAACCTGGAAGATGCGCTGGTGCAGGAGGCCTTGAAGACGGTGCGCCCCGGGAGGAGCTGCGGGGGCGGG